TATATATATATATATATATTTGTGGCGATGATGATGATTTATGATGATGAAGCAGAGAGAAAGGCATGAACAACATGCCAGGTGGAAGCGTCTTGACAAACAGTTTGTTGGCTCAGGCTTCTGGATGTTGGGTTGTGCGGTAGTTGAGATATGGCCGGTTGCACTGTCGTATGTTCTTTGTCAGGTTCAGCGACTTCTGCGCAGCAAGCTTTGCAGCTGGCACCCGTATCAATTGATCCATGTTGCATAGACGAGGAGCTGATGCAATCACCGCCCCGAGAAAGAGGCGGAACTGATCTTGCAGCTTTGCGAATACATTTTGGGACAATCGTACAGAGAGAGGTCTCGGTTGACGACACTGCTGAGTGCCATTGTCTGAGAGATAGCCACAACAGCAACTCATTTCTATCGGCGCTTCCTGATGCAGAGAGCAAGAAACATTTACTCAGCTTCCACGGGAGCGGAAGCAAGAAAAGCTAGTTTCAGCAGTCTCGGGCTTTTCATTCCTGGTCGAAGCCCGTCCCTTTGCTGTAGCTCTGCTGCTGAAACAGTGATGTAGTAATTAATGCTCCTGGCCGTCGTCGTTGCGATTTTTGTCGGTGATGCCGCAGCAGCACTAGCAGTCACTAGCAGCAGTGTTTTCACCATTTGCTTGGCAGTTGCTTGAGTGTCTGTGCCGTCGGTTCGTAGCAGACTGTGGTAGTAAGTGGAAAGTTGTGGTGATCAAGAGTACAGTACATCTTCACACATTGGCTGTTGCCTTTTTGATGCTAGCACGGCACCAGGCCACAGATATGCGTTGGTTTATGGGCCAAGCCCGCGACCCAAACCCTAAACCCTAAACCCTAAACCCTAAACCCAAACCCTCACCCCTTCCACTCCGAGCCCGACATGGCATGCAGGAGATGAGATTCACGGGGCAGCTACGCCCATCTTGTGCTTGGTGTCGCGGGCTCGGACCCCCAAGGCATAGCAGGTTGTAGAACATCACAGGCAGCAGACGAAATTTACATATACAGACATACATACACGCGTATATACTTATAGATAGACAGATAGATAGATAGCTAGCTAGATAGATAGATTCATGGGATAGTCGTTCAGTGAGTGTTCATGGTTGAACTTTGCAGCGTCGGAGTTGCTGCGTTTGGGGCTCCCCCAATCAAGTTAGTTGGAGCCATCCCGTCCTGACTAGTTTCATTCCGGAACCTCTGACTACATGGCGCTATTGAGATCGTTGCTACGCTCCGGTTTGCCTTCGAGCAGACTCACGCCGTGTTTCCAACCGAAACCTTAAAACCCTTAGTGCAGGGATTTGCCATGTTAAGTGTGTTACTTAGTACTGTTGGCTTGTCCGAGTTGTGAGAGTGTAAAACCCTTTCATTAAGAGATCTGGCAACACTTGGAGGTTCATGGGTAGTTATAAGTAGGGTTATAAGTCCCCTAATATGGGTTACAATTATAGTTAGCTTACTTATAGCTCCACTTATAACTACCCATGAACCTCCAAGCAGGCAGGCCTTCACGGATCTGGGAATGCCCGGCCCCTGGCCAGAGGTTCTGGGCACTTCGGGCAAAGGCTTCTCACGGCTATGCTGGAGTGTCCGAAGACTGCGTGTTGAAGCCGGGTTCACAATTCGATGAGAAGACGAGGTTTGACCACGATCTCGACTTATGTGCTGCCGCAGCGCCGCAACCTCATTTGCCGAATCGATGTGCGAGAGAGAAAGAGAGGGCCGATGAATAAAGATGACCTTGGCTTGAGGCGTGTGTTTGTGAGTCTTCATTGGTATCAGTGTCACAACACGTCTTGATCTTGGCTCCCCAATTGTCGCAGCTTGCGTAGAACATGTCTCCTTGCAACAGAAGCAGTCTCAGACTGCCCCAGCATTTTGAAAGGCTGCGGCATCTGGGACGTGAACTGGACGCAGCTCGGCCGATCGGATGTTTATGAACTGTGTGCCAGATCGTTTCCTCATGGCATGTGCGACAGACACTAGTCCTGCCATTCCAGGAGCCACCTATGCAGCTATCTGTCATTGTGTCTCCTACTATCTTAAAATTGTAAAGACTGTGCCACGAGCTCAAGCACGAAGCTCATGTTTTCAGTAGAGAAGTGCGCTAATTCGTCTTCAGTTTCCTGGATGACTGTGCCTCCAACCGAGCCGTCACTTTGTCCACAGGCGATGCATACAGCAAATGAAGCTTGGCAGCAGGTTCACTGGGGGCCAGAATCTACGCAGGGGTCGTGTAGGCGCAGGTGACAGCCAGTGGGGTTGAGGGTTTAGGGTCTCATTCTCCTCTTCTGCAAGTCTCACTTCGTTCATCTCGGTGCCTCGAGGCAACAAGCAAAGTAGAGTTCAGGTTTGCAGCTGGTGCCGATGCCAGCTACAGAATCAACCAACGAAGATCCTCAGTGGATCGGGATAGTAGAATCATGTAGAGTCGTTCTTCATATCCGGATAATGAGGATCCCTACAATGAGGCACACCCAATAACAAACGATCACACACAGTCTCAATTCTTCGGCTTCAGCCAACAAGAACTAGTGCTGCAGTCCCTGGTTACCTATCAGGGGGATTAGTGACTAGGGTAGGGCTGAAGGTTAATAGGGCTTGATGCAAAGCTCAAGCCCGAGTAGTTCTGAGCCTCAAAGAGCTTAATCACCTCAATCTCCTTGACCCCTAAACACGCTAAGCTGAAACCCAAGCCCCCATAGCCCTAAGACCCTAGCTAAACCCGAAACCCCTAGGTAAGCTATACTGAAACCATCGGGCACCAAAAGTCGGTATCTTAAGCTACTGAAACCGGACATCCCCGCACCCAGACCCAGGATGTGCACCATGACGGCCTCACTGCTAGCGAGCAGGACTTGCTGCGCATGTCCACGGATTTCAGGGCGTAGGGTTCAGATTCCGGGTTGAGTGCAAGGGCTTACGCACTGGACTTAGGAACCTGTTTATGAGATCTATGGGTGGTTGTCAAAATTATTAATTTTGACAACCGCCCCTATGTAGGTTTGAGAGCTTTTTCGGATTTCGGTCCCGGTGCAAAGATGCTGCCACCTGGCTATAGCTTCCCTGCCCCTGCCTAGTGAGGCACTTCGCAGGGACGTCGTTGAAAAAGGGTCAAATCATGTTAGTCTAGGGGCCTAAATAATAATAAGAATAATAATACTATTGTGGGGGTTCCTTGTTCTAGTTATAGTAGAATATATCCCGAAAGCCTATTCTAGAAATTATAAGGCTTGTACATCAGGGGTTTCGGGCCGCTTCAGGTTTATGACGCAGTTCGAATTTGGATGAGAGTCTGCTTGCAGGAGCCACCTGCAGGGCAGCCGCATGTGCGAGCCACGGAAACGTTTCAGGGCTTCCGGCATAGTCGCTGACTTTGAATGTAGGGCCTACTTCATGTAGGCTTCAGGTTTCAGGGTTCAGAGTTTAAGTTTAGGCTTTGTGTTTATCCCGCAGAGGTTCACACTGTTGGGTTTAAATTAGGAACCCAAAAAGACATAGCAGGCAAGAAGCCCTAAATCCCTACACCCCCAAAAAATAAACTAGAAAACCCCACACCCCTAAGCCCCAAACTTCTTAAACCTACAAGCCCAAAGCCTAAACTCCCAGAAAGCCCTCATCCTCGAGCGCTTGAACCTTTAAAGTCTTACAGTTCAAAGCCAAACCCAAGAAAGAACGCAAGCCTTCAACTATCACGATCTAGTATACCCCAAATGCCCTGTCTTTATAAGAGCAGTATGTAAGGGGCCCGAAACCGTCCCTAAACCCTTAACCCTAACCCCCAGGTGCAGTGGAGCAGCCGTCACGTTAGCGTGATCGTGAAGCCACCGGGCTGGGCCGTGCTTGGTCTGCAACAGCGTGCCCTGAGGGACGAACTTTAGGGTCTGAGACTGGGGGAGAGAGAGAGAGAGGGAGTTTTTATGGAGGCGATTGTGGGATGTTCAAAAAGTTTTTCACGTTTTGAGCAAAGGTCTTGATTATAGGATGGTAGTCTGTGGTATGGTCTCGCAACTGGTCGCTTGTGCGCAATCTCCAGAACTTGCTCCTTCCTTTGTCTCTTCTAGAGGGTACCAAAGATCTAATGCGCACCTCTCTTCAAGCAGGCTGGGCCGCTTTAGGGTTTAGGGGTTTTTGGTTTAGGGTTTAGGGGTTTAGGGGTTTAGGGTTTAGGGGTTTAGGGTTTACGGTTTAGGGTTTAGGCTGTCTCACATAGTCAGAAAGTCAGAACCATTATATCACAGATGCTGAGTCAAGGGTACATATGATCTTAATCCTTCTGCTGTGTCGACCTCTGTCCGTGTATAAGATGTAGGTTCCATGCAGCCTCTGGGTTGGGATTAATACTGGGGCTCAAAGAATTCCTAATTTTATTTTGGTGGTTCCTCATTATAAATAGAGTAGAATGGGTCCCCAAAACCCTATTCTGATTATTAAGGCTTCTATATCAACTTCCTGTTGTTGTAAGATCGCCATACAACTGGGAGGAAACTTTGCCATGCAAGTGCAAATCGGGCGCTGGAGACGAGACCGTTGGTGCGTTCTGAGATTTTCTGCATTGCTTTTGTGCCTTCGGCGCGGAGTGAGTAGTTCAGGCTTACGTATGGTTTTAGCATTCAGCGCCTTCCCTACAGCCGCATACCCACCGAAAGCTCGCTAAACCCTAAACCCCTAAGCACCCAACCACCTAATCGCTTGAAATCTTGGGGTTCGCCAAGAACCCTAAGGCAGAACCCTGACAGTCGTATTAACCCTTGGCCCTAACCCCGTGTAAACCCTAGACCCTGAAACCCTAAAGCCCTAAACCCCAACCCCTAAACCCTAAACCCCTAAACCCTATGGTTCTCTATGGCAAGCTGAGGTCTTCACGAGTTCAGACGTGATGGTGGGAGCGAAGCCAGACCCCCTGGGTAAGCAAAGGTTATCTAAGGGTTTAAGCTTCTTATCTAAGGGCTTAAGCTTCAGGGGTTTAGGGTTTATCGGTTTGGGGGTTTCGGGTTTAGGGCTAGGGGTTTAGGCTTAGGTCATGCAGCTCATGGTTTTGCAGGGTTTTCGGTGGCTTTTGGAGGTCTTAAGGACACGGAAGTATCAGGAGAGTTGCCACTACAGCAGGCCTTTGAAAACATGTGTGTATGCTTTTTCAAGATACTAGACTGCGTAGACATATGGGTAGTTCTCTAAATTAGGGTCCCTTTTTAGGTCCCCAATATAGTACGGCACCCGAAGAAAAAAGGACCCTAAAAGGGACCTTGATTTAGAGAACCACTCATATACCGGTGCCCCCACATGTGCGTTCATTACACAGATCACTTCCTTCTTCTTCCGAGAGTCCCACAGATCAGAATGACTCGTTGTTGCTGGCCATGGAAACCCCACGAAGTTGGACATTCGACCCTAAGCCCTAAACCCTAAACCCTAAACCCCTAAACCCTAAACCCTAAACCCTAAACCCCTAAACCCTAAACCGTGAATGATAAGCAATCCCAAGATGCAGATCGCACATGGGGGGTTTCCGAAAGTAGGGGACATTAAATATAGTACCCTAAATAGTAGGATCCTTATTATAAGGACCCCTGATTAAGGTACCCCTTATTTTCGGAAACTCCCATTTAGTTCCTGAATGAGTTTTACTTGCAGCAGCACCTTGAAGTTTGCACTTGCTACATGGCGACTAGATAAACATCAGTAGCGAGGGGAGCATACAAACCAGCGCAGGGACCAGTATCCCCAAGCTGGCCCGACAACTGGAAAGCCCTGCACCTTGCAGTCATGTTTGAAAATGTCAAAGCGCAAAGCCCTGGGTTCGAAACCATTCTAGTCTCAATTCCATGGTCCCTAAACCCGACTCCCTAAGTCCTAACCTATTCCATGGAATATCTGCATACCGCACTACGCCTGTCACTTCCAGCCTGAGCTGTTCATCCCTGCATCGGGCATCCGAAAGTTTGTGAAGAGAGGAACCTTGAACCCCTAAACTCAAGCGTGCACATCTGTACCTTCACAGGCTGACCACGAGCAAGGGAACTATTGTTTCCAAGCTTTTGCTTAGAATCCACACTAGCAGGGCAAAGGAGAGATCATTCCATTGTTAAACCTGCTAGATGGAGACTTTGACGTGTGAATGCTCACTGCATGATGGTTTAAAAGCGGGCCACTGAGCCTCTTCCCGTCTTGTTTAGGAAGGTGGCTGAAAAAAACGTCCTGGGGCAAGCCCGAAATCTAGAAATTATTTGGGTTTGTCCCAGCTGTTTGTGGGTTTTTTTGGTTTGGCGGTTTCTAGTTTTGTCTAGGCTGGTTTAGCTTTCTTTAGTTTCTGTTGGTTTTCTTCGATTTTGGTAAGTTTTCCTTACTGTTGCTCTATTTTCCAGGCGTTGTTTCGTGTTGGTTTTCTTTGGTTTCGGTAAGTTCTCCTTACTGTTGCTCCATGTTCCAGGCTTTCAGACGCCTCAGTCTCTTTTGGCAGGATCAAAAAAGTCTGGAACCACTCTCTCGGCTACCAATGCCGCTGCCCAATGGTAACCCCACCAGTATAGACGGCCCACTCCGGCACCTCCTCAACCCTTGCCATAAACTTTTTTCTGCTACATGCGACCAGGAACCATGGACTGTTTTAGCTTGATTTAGCTTTTTTCATTTTTCCAAGTTTTCCTTAGCCTCCTCAGCTTGTGGACAGTTTGGGCCCACATGCTGTGACAGTCATTGTCTTTTCCTGTACTGTGGGAAACACCCCAGTCATAGAAGGTACATACGTGCACGCATGATAAACCGCAAACCCTGGCCTGCGGTTAGAGCTTGTTCTGTCTTCGGTGGTATGGATGCACGAGGGTCGACATTTGGAGGTCTGCTCCGATTCGGTGGGTCGGGGGTTTAGGGTTTAGGAGTTTCGGGAAACCTAGGGTGTGAATTTGGACACTGAGCAGTCACTGAGTAGGATCTTCTTGTCAAGGCACCAAAATCAAAATTTATTAATAGAATCCATGTAGAATCCTAGAACCCGTGAGAAACTCCTAGACAAACCTTACAAGAAAGCTCTTTTCTATGGTGCACCCTGTGTCTGAATGGCAGGCATCTTGTTTCGTGGGTACAGGCCGCTGCTGCATTCCTTGCAGGAGTCTGTTTAGAGCGCTCCAATATGCGCCGTGCTTTGGCTACTCTCATTGGGTAGTCATAAACCTCCAAATGGGAGTTTCCAGAAATTAGGGTACCTTATTTTGGGGTCCTTATAATAGGGATCCTATTATTTAGGGTACTATCCTAGGGCCCCCTATTTTAGGACACCCCCAAATAAAGTCTGGGGATGTAGTGGTTGATGTGGACTTGTTGTGATGCATGCTTGGGTCGCCGACAGTCGAGACTTGACATGAGAGTCTCCGTGCTGTTCTTAATTTCATTTTTGTATACTTATCGCCGCAATTACTTTAGTTTTCTATCGTTGCTAGATGCTGTAGTTGATGTCATGAACCGTGTTGTCATAGACCTCTTCCCCAGGAAGCCCGAAGCCGCAGCATGGTTCCGACATTGACCCGGCAGCCACGAAGATGCCCCTAAACCCGAAGGCCCTGGGCCCGAAGCCTTCAACCGTGGAGCATAATATAGGGGCCTTAAGAA